TTGTCCAACACTTGACACTTTCCTGACTCGAGTGCCAAATATTCGCAGAGCAAAAATTTCTTCGTGCTACGAAACTTTTCACATATTTGATGAATTTGGAAATCAGACTGATAGGACAGATCTTCGGCAACGTCTTCCCACTTTTTCTTCTCCTATGGCTTCTCCTAAATCATATGCTATATTGCAAGCAACTAATTTAAGAATCATGAAAAAAACCAGCAAGATATGGTTTTTATGAATACGAAAAAGGTGATTGTTGTACTGGAAAGTGTAAATGGATTGATGGCGTTGAATCGAGTATCTGTGACAGCGTTTGGAAACTTTGAAGCTTGGGTAAGAAATACCGTCGGTGCCAATTTCATAATTTGAAGGCAACCATCTTCAAGGCGAAGGGAACAAATTCATTAGCTTAAACAGAAATGCTTTAGGTACACAAGATGAGCTCACTCAAAACCTTCACCGCAGCGGTGGAAAGTTTGCTAGCACCCGAGGGTAAACGTACCGGCTGTCCAACTAACCAGATGGCGTTAGGCAGACTACATCAAGAGGAACTCTATTTCGGTTCTGTATGACAGGCCTGATCAGACGTATGCCATTTGGAACTTTTAGTTTTCAAGTTATTTTTCTTAACCAAATCCCTTACAATGAGGGTAATTTCCGCAAAATAATATTTAGCGGGGTTGAACTAGGAGTGAAACAGTAAACCAATCACTTTGGCACATAGAGTTTTCGCCAGCTTGTCCAGCAACGAATCCGTATATTGAACCCGTCTCAGCAGTGGATGATTTGCTGCTTGTCTCAAACGCATCAGAGCTCCATAAGCATTGTTTGTGTCCCGTCTACACCTCGAACACTGAAACGAAATAATGGCGTCGTTACGGCTCTACAAGTTCCTTCCGAAAGGCACTGAATAACTTTGAAAAGATAAACCAAATAGGAATGTCGCGAGAAAGAACGAAACAGAATTGGATGAAGCGGCGCTACTTACCTATCTAATACATTTTCATATAACTCTTTTTGATTTTCCAACATTTCCACTTCTATAACTTCTTCGTGTTTCTCTGGCAAGTGGTATAAAACCTAGAAAAGCGAATTTTGAACTCTTCCGTGACATCAGAAAAACAGTAATCATATACCTGAGTCTTCAGTCTTCTGAGCATGTACGGCTGCAAAATCAACTTTGCCTGCTCTATCCTATCCTTTTGATACATGGAACATGAACCTGACTCAAGAGCAGGACCTTGCTGCAAACACAATCTCTACGTTTCGCTTACTTATTTTGAAACAAATTCAGTTAACTCCAGGGAACTACCGAAAAATATTTGAAAGGTTACCTGTTTGAAATGTTGCAAAAGTTGAGCGATATCCTCACAATACTTCGTGAAAATGTGAGTCATCACAAAATACATCAAGGATATTAATTCGATAAGGTTATTTTGCAAGGGAGTTCCTGTCATGAGCACCTTTCGCTTACCCTGGAACCTTATTTTCACTACATGAAAAAAAGAACAAAAACACAAGTTGGGAAAATCACACACCTTAACTTTCATAAGATTCCGATAGCGATCCGTACCACAGTTCTTGAGCATATGACCCTCGTCGTAAACAACATAATGAATACTGAAGTTCTTAAAGAACTTCTTGTCATCATGCTTCGATGAGATCATATTATATGTTGTGAGAATGACATCAATCTAGATGAATCAACACTTCAATAAAGTTTCGGTCAAAACGAAATATATCGCAAAACTATTGCAATTATTCACAACGTTCATACATTCTCCTTCTTCTTCTTAGCCATGTGTCTGAGCTGCCGCCGCTCCTCTTGACTTCCATAATAAGTTAACAACTGAAATGCAAAAATTGAGAATACGCATCACGCTTTCATTCCAAAACTATAGAGCAGTAAATGATGAACCAAAGAGATAATAATCAAACGTCAATAGTGTTCTAAGGAGATTACAATGTCGATTGACAGATCTCCAATCAGCACAGGGCAATACTGTTACGGTTCTTGTTAATTAAGACAGCCAGATTGGGTTAAATCATCAATATTCAGTCAAGACGTATTCTAGGATTATTTAAATTTGTAATATAACACTTAACAGAAAGAGAAAGCATATAAAAATAGTCAAGATGTTGTTGTGAAAGTGTAAAAGGTCGTGAAGCATGTTCAAGGAAAGACAAATGAAGAAACATACGCGAACTTTTGGGCACCATTTGATGAATTCCGCCATCCAGTTTTCAATCGTTGACGACGGCACAACTATGAGATGCGGACCGCGAACGTTTGCTTCCTTCAGATAAGCTATGAAGGCTATGACTTGAATCGTCTTGCCGAGACCCTAAACCATGAAGCGAGTGTCTATTTCCAAAAAATAGTCCATTCCCTCACTTCTGAACCTCCGTAGTAGAAATATTGAAAGAAAACCGCAAGCACAATTTGCATTTTGCATGAGTGGCGCATTCAACATTTTTGTAGCACTGATGGTGAAAAAGTGCGCTCAAAAAAATCATATTAAAAGGATGTTTTGTTCGATGAGCGTCCTTTCTTGTGCTGTACTCTGCTACATCAAGCACTGACCGTAATAAGAAGCAAGAAAAAAATGCTCCAGCTCGGTGAAAACTAGAAATCTCACCATTTCATCACCAAGTATACAGTTGAATCCCTTTTCATGCATCATCACAAGCCAGTTCAAGCCTACGTGCTGATATTCGTGGAGTGTACACCTAGAACTCGCAAAATTTGCGGTTGAAAAGAAAATGCAAACAAAATTCCGACTGATGAATGAGAATAGTTGAATAGGTTTACGATTTTTTTGCTTGGCCTTAGTTTCCTAACAGAGCTCAGTCTAGATGAATAGATAAAGATAAAATATTCAAAAATTGCGGATGACACTAAACAAAGGAGCCGCTCAATCACTAACTTTTCATCTAATAGCGCCGGCTTGAGACGACGATGAGTACACTTCTCGAACTCCGCGGCCACGGACAGAGAGTGATCCTTGCAGTCATCCAGAATTTTCTCCAAAACACCACGATTTTCAAGGAACTCCATGTAGGCGTTCAGGGCCCCAGTCCCCCGTGGAATTTCCGAGATAGCAGATTCCTTGAAAATTTCAAATTCCTCAAAAATTTCTTTGAAAATAAATAAGCCAACGACGCTCACCAATTCAGCAAAAGAATTGAACGGCCGACGTTCGACGATTTGCGACACGATTCTTTCAGTCATTCGTGGAGTGGAAGTAAGTTGTGAGCGTGTTGATGTGTTGAAAAATTCGAGACATGCAAGCATAACGTCGTCCTCTTCTTCGTTACGTGGGCGATGTTCGTCATCCTTTAAGAAATTTGGAATGCATTAACAATCCAGTTAATGGATTTAATGACTTGCTCATATGTTTGGTTTGCTCTACAATGAGGACGATTTCTCTCCAACCCAGAATGGAATGCAACAGGAGGCAACCACTACGACGCCAGAAAATACGGGAGAGGAAGTTATAAGTTATGCATAAAAGGACCGGAAAAAAATCACAAGGCATGGAGTGTAGAAACGGTCGGGGTAGAGAGGAGAATGCGAACAGGATGAAATAAGACGCTGATAATCTAGAAAAAAACTCGTTAAAGTCGAGAAAAATGAGGGCCAGCAATAATTTAATGATGATTCGGAATATGAAAAGGTAGCGTACTAAAAAATACATGCCGCAGACAGACAGAGAAAGCGAAAAAGTGAAAGTACCTCAATAAGAGTGAGGGAAATGTAAGACAGTTATTTTCCAAATATAGTTAGATTAAATACAGTTTGCCTTCAAAAAAAGTAGAAAAAGAATACTAGACAAGAGAATGAGTTACCCTACCCATAGCACTTGGAACTAAGCCTTACGGAGGGGAAGAGGGAGGAGGTGAGCAATTTTGTTTTTTGAAGAGGGGTTATAAGGAAGAGAGCAATTTTGTTCGTCTCTCATAAGGTCGTGAGCGCGACAAAAAATGCAAATAGAGGGCTACAGAGGGGAAGAATAATCAAGTAAGACTGACATCGTAAGAAAGTGAATGTACCACCAATCGATAGCAAAAGAACACCTGTAAGTGAAGTTTGTGGTGCAACAAGGAAAGCAAACGAAAACGGGTCGGATAACAACAAAATAACTACAGAGCGAGGAAAAAAGACGAAATTAGCAGCAGCAGAAGGAGCGTGATTCAGAACAAGTCTTCAGAGAGGGAGAACAAAAAGAAGGATCCATGGCAGAATCGCAGCGGCAGAGGTACGCGCACTTATTTTCTGATAGAGCAATCTGAGTGAAAAGGAGAATGTTTTGCGCAACATGAAGGCTGCATGTATAAAGGATAATTCACACTACATATTCAAAAAGAATCTGTGAGATAACATAGTAAATTCGATGAAATGAAATAGAGAAGCACTAACGTCACTATCCGAAGTTGCTTCTTCTGAGGAGCGGCCGCCGCGATAGGAGCCCTTATCACTACCACCATCACCAAGATACTCCTCATCGGAGGATCCTTTTCGTTTCCGGCCGTGTTTAGCAGCAGCTTTGGCTACTTTCTTCAACGTGGAGGCAGACTAGAACACCACAACATGGCTTTAATGGAGACAAAAAAAAACATGGAAACGCTTTGTTGTTGAGAGAATCGAAACTTGCGCTACCGTTAGATTTTCCTCTTGATCTTCATCACTTTCCTCAGAGAAAACCGCTTTGATACGCGAACGTTTCTTTATAGGGGAATCTGATGCATGAGTCTTCATACGCTGAAAAGAGAAGGATACACTAACCATCATCACCCCAAACAACTTTTCCACACCTTTGCATTTTCATCTAATCGTGGTTTGCATAACCATTCCTCTTCGCTTGATTCAGACAACGTCCGGACTTTTCTAAAATGTGTCAATGGATTGTCATTAATGAAGTTACCGAGACTTCTTAAAGAACTATGTTTCAATAGAAGAAATATATCCCACTCTGTTGTTCCTGACCGTCCCAGTCCTAAAGCATTGGTGGTGGATTCTTTGGACACATTAGATGCCGACTTCTTTGGCCTACCCCTGAAATTTCGTGGATACTACAGCACTGCATAATATTTCCCATTCATACAACTTTTCTGTATCATTTGTCCTTCTTTGTGCCTAATTATCGATCATAAGGAAATTTTTGCACGTATTTTTGTAAAAAAGCACGAGGAACTCAAACGGTGTCTTTCAGAAGGATGTACGCGGTCGAAAGAGTCTTTCGCATCTAAAGAAGAATCTACTGTAATTCTCAACGATCCATGAATTTCGCCATTCCAAAGCCGACCAGTTGCTAGAATTGACGGCCACTGGCGAGTTCCAGTAGGCATTAACAACTACTCTATGGCTTTTAAAGTGGAATGCCAACTCTTCATGATCAATAGAGAATATCTAAGAAAACCAAGAGAACAAATGTACTTCAGCCAGGAATCGAGACCCGTTCTTTTCTTGCGTGGGCGTTTCTCCTCCTCATCACTGAGCATGAAGTCCTCATCCGCATCCTCAGCTTCATCGTCTACAATAAAGTCCTCATCGTCGTCGCTATGGATGATTTTCTTCTTCTTCGCATCAGGTCCTAT